TCTTTGCACGAATCGGCCCGGCTCGCCCGATGTAATACCACGACCACACAGAAGACAGGCGTGAAGTGGAAGCAATTCCGCGTTTCGTCTGATGAGCGTGCGTCCCGGAGGCCAAAATTAGTCCTCTTTCCCTTCCCACCCTTTTTCTTATAAGGAAAGGATGGGAAGTGGAAGTGGACTTTCCGGATGAGAGGATGCATGGAAAGGGAAAATATTTTCTTTCTGTGCATCCTCTCCTCCGTCGATTAAAGGTAGGCAACGCGTATGCAATTGCGTATGTCTATGGGCAACGGTCACTTCGCTATTTCAGCGATTTCAGGTGGCCGCTCGCTCGTTTGCCACCTTATGATATATATAAAAAAACATATCGAAAGTAATTGTCACTTCTATACTTTTTGACTTTTTCGATTAGCAACATCCCTTAACGATGTTACTTTAGGAGCACTTGTTCTTATATTTACAGAACGTATTTTATTTGTAGAAAGTGAATATTTAATAGCATTTTCCTTGGACTAGTTGTATAAACTATTTAGAACGTCGAAAGCTTTAGAGAATCTAACGGCGCTCCGCACCAATATCGGCTATAAATTTCTCTCCTAAACGAACATGTCTGGACCAAGATCGGACGCCATACATCTCTAGCATCGAGCTGCCGCTTGTCCGACCGTGAATTCGCTTTGAAAACCGTACTGCGGACTTGTTCAAATCTATGTATATCTAATCGATGCACTTTTGTTGAATCATAAATTTATATTGATGTATTTATCGTATCCACATTTAAGCATCTCTCCTTTTATAGCTTCATAGGAGGAGACTAAAATACTTTTATGATAGCAAAATTGGTTTATGACGTCATCGGTTGGTAATTCTAGTAACTACTGCATTCTAAAAGGGAGATGTCCCTTGCTGTAGATAATACTAGTTACATTAAGGGAATGCCTAAAATAATAACGACTCTGAGTGCAGTAATTAGTGTTAATTAATCTTTAATGACTATTTATTTACTAAATTATATGATAGTACAATAAAGAAGTGACAGATTGATCCGCTTTACTTAGTTTTAAAGCTACAAAAAATGACTACTAAAATTATAGGTTAATTTTAAGAGTTTATGCACTCTTTTTTAATATACCTTAACAACGTTACTACTTATAAATGTTTGTACAAGGGTATAGGTGAAAGCATTCACTCCTTTGGGAAGTATTTGAGATCAGTCTACTGGGACCAAGCTTGCCTTGTGTAGAGTTTAGAATGCAGTTTAGGCTTCCCTCTCTGGGAATTTCACTGGATGTAAAGTAAACAAATGAATTTGTATTTCCCCCCTCCCTCTACCTTCTCAATAAAATAGGTTATCTTGTAGATAGAAATAAATATTAACGTAATAAACTTACGAAAGTTAGCTGTTTAATATTACTAAACTTAAATACAATTTAAATTAAAAAGAGAAATTGTTAGCAAAGTATTTTCTCTTTGTAATATTGACATTCAATATTAGGTATTTGAGAATAAGCAATTTCCCTGTCAATTCTAGCTCTACCACAGATAAAAAGGATTCGAAATAAAACTAAAAGAGTAAATTGTACGAAAACAAATTTCATCACTGTTCACGTTTCTGAAATAATTCCGCCGATGTAATTAATTTACATCTACCCACTTTGACGAGGGGTCCGGAGATTTGCGGATTTGTACACAGTCGATAGCGTTGCTTATCATGGTGTAATAAAGTTTATAATCGTGTGGCAAGTGAGTGTTTAATTCAGTTCGATTTAGGCTTCGTTTTGCTTAATGCTCGCTTTGAACTCGGCTCGACAAAGGTGTTAATTAAGGGACAGTAGGATGCAAATGTTAGTCTGCGACGGATAATATTAGTAAGAGCAATAACTGAGGAAGATTTAATTTGATATTTTATTTCGCAATATACAAATTTTTAAACATAAGATAGCAAACGAGAAAGCGGCCGCTGAAATACGCTGAAATAGCAAAGCGGTAGACATCTGCAATTGCAGATTGCTTGCCTTTAATCGATCGTGGAGGGGACGCACAGAAAAAGGTTATATCTCCTTTCTATGCATCTCCTCCTCCGTCAAATCCAATTCATGCCTGTCTTCTGTGTGGTCATGTTATCAGATTCATGCAACACATGTTTTTGCTGGTGACTACCACTGTTAAAGTTTATTATTGGGTGCTAAGGTTGGTATAAGGTGCATATCTTTGATGTTTTTCTTTACCGTAAGAACGTAGGATAAATGTACAAATTCAGGAAACGAGCGTATCAACATCTCAAAGGCCGGCAAAGCATCTGCGGTTCCTCTGGTATTACTGATGTCCGTGGTCGTCGTTGAACACATCGGGGTTTCCACTGCTCGTTTGCCCACTTCTGTTATAAAAAAAAGGAAAAACGCATGGTGGGATTCGAACCCAGGACCTGGATGTAGTAAGTAAAGTGATTAAACCACTGAACCATCGACGTTTATCTGAAATACACTTCGAATTAATTATACAATGCATTGCATGAAGATCATAAAATTTGTTATTTACTATAAAGTTAAGTGTGCGCAGTAATTTGCCTTGCGTTGTGGCCTGCGGGTGGCTGCATAAATTGTGCGGGCGTCGACGTATTCTCAGGATAGAATGAGCTTTTAATGTCCTACGTTTCACTACAAACTGTTTATTATAACGCAAAGGAAACAATTTTGATATTACAGCTTTATATCGAAATATTGAGATATAACTTGGAATAACCGAATTGTTTATTGTGCGTCCAAATTGTTAGTAAAATCTTCTAGCTTTTATAATATGCAAGAATGCTTCAAAATGTCCGATGTTCTAGAATTTTTGTTTGGTTGTTCTGTGGTCTTATTATAGGATCGAGAAAAGAGATAACTATGATACAATCGTATTTACATAACTTTAGAGATAAATCTTACATATTAAATATTATTTCTAATTTTAATTTTTATTAATATTATAAATGCGAATATTTAGATGGAGTGATGGATGAATGACTGTGTGAAAGAGGATATGCGTAAGAGGGGGGTAGACTCGGATATGACGGCTGATAGATATGTATGGAGGAGTAGTACATACTGTGTCGACACTCAATAGAGATAAGGGCAGGTTGATGATGATGGATGGATGTTCGTTTGAAGGTATCTCCAGAACAGCTCAACAGATCTCGATAAAATTTGGTATTCATATATATCATAGTCTGGAAGAAATCATAGGATACTAATTATGTATTTTTAATACCACACCGCGCGGACAGAGTTGCGGGTAACAGATATCTTATAATAACGTTCTTCATCTCGTTTAAAGTCAACGTTGTATAGAATTTAAGTTTATATTTATAAAAAATATGTATTAAAAAGACGACAACTACCATTTATGAGTATGCAAACTGTTTTTTTAAAGAGAATTTTAATCCATTCCAGTACAATATATTGAAAAGTTGTTCACGAGCACAAATCCACTACAATACTCAACAATAGAAATAAGATGTAATAATATCCTTTTAGTACTGAGTCTGGAGACACAGAGCAGCTGAAAAGCGTTTTATCTCTTTGACCTCAACGCAATTGTAAGTAGCTGCTTTGTGAATTGAAAATTTAGTCGAATGCGAATAATCTTTTCATTCTTCTTGCTTATTATCTACTAGCTGACGCCCGCGACTCCGTCCGTGCTATATTAAAACTAAAAACACTGAATTAATAGTATGTGTTCTTCTAGATTATGTTCTACATCTATGTCTAGTATCAGCGAGATCCATACAGCCGTTTTGGAGATACCTTTAAACAAACATCCATCCAAACATTCGCATTTGTATTAGTATGAAGTAAGGTTTTATGACATCTGGTTTTGTAACGTGAGTTTTCGTGGTGATTTGTCGACGCACGAATATTTAAAATGCACCTATGATTTTATTTTAATTGGGTTATTTAACACAACTGTAAAATTTTCTTAAAAGGATGTTAATTATAGTGTGAGGTTATAACATTTTATTTATTCATGATCAAAAAATAATTTTACAATTTTAAAAATTAAAACAGCTACATACCTAAAGGCGCATACCTGTACCGACCGCGAACCTTTATTGTGCCAGTGACAAACTACATAAGACATTTAATAAAAGCAACGTTGAGAAATGTCGCTCCGACGTCCAGCGTCTTTGTTACACAAACCATTTGTAAATTCGCCCAAGGGATAAATATATTTACGTGGCCTTTAAATTTAAATCATCCTATATAAATAAATTTAAACGTAATTCTTCTTAATCGACCTTAATACGCAGTTTACGCGTTTTTATATACATTAATAACAAAAAACTTCGACACTCTTGGTATGTAAAAATCTGGGGCTGATGTTTGTCTGATATTAACGCAACCGATCATCACGAAAGTTCTTAACTTAGTTTAATTTGCAATTGCATTTCCTACTTGTAATCGACGGAGGAGGAGATGCACAGAAAGAGAATATTCTCCCTTATCATGCATCCCCTCATCTGGAGAATCCACTTCCACTTCCCATCCTTTATTTATAAGTAAAAGCGGTGGGAACTGAAAGAAGACTAAAATTAGGTCTCCGGTACCACACTCATCAGATGAAACGCGGAATTGCTTTCACATGAGGCCTGTCGTCTGTGTGGTCGTGGTATTACACGGGCGAACCGGACAATTTGTGCGATGTTAAAGCGGGTTCTACCACGGTTATAACCTTGAAATACAAAGAAGTTACGACCTCAATATTTCTATTAATTTCTACACGCGCAAAGTCGGAGAGCACCGCGTGTACTAAGAAGTGCCTAAAGGCGTCAGTCATCTTTTAAAATAAAACCCCAAGAACGTATTATTCCTAAAGGTAAATTAAGAAAAAACAATTTGCTTTCTAAAAGGAAAAAGAAAGTGTCAATTTGACTGTCATTACACGCTTCAATTAGTGACAAAGGTACTAAGGGGAGATGAAGAAATTATATTTGATCACCCTACTGGACTGGAATAACAATTTCAAGCGACGTCGCCTTCGTTTCGGACGTCGTAATTCCCTTTAACGTTGCCTAGCTGCTGTGACGTCACATCCAATTTTGAGTCACGGTTCAAACTAAATGGGTCCGAGACTTTATTCTGTAACAGGTAACGCTTAGTAAGTTAACACTTCAATTTTCCCATATTCCTTGTTGTAGATAGACTGATATTTTATTTATTAGATGTATTTCCAAGTACTAAGATTAAAAAAAAAAGTTAACTCGCCAAAGTCGGTGGCATCGAAGGTGTTAACCAAAAATCAATTAAAAATTTACTAATTACTGTGCGTGTTTATTTCAATATATTTTTTTAATCTTACTAATATTATAAATGCGGACGTTTGAATATATGGATAGATGTTTGTTAGATTTCTTCAGACCGACTGTATGAAATTTGCTTAAGTTTAGCATCGATGTTTTATGTTTTTTTTAATTCCGCACGGATGAAGTAGCGGGTAACAACTAGTATCTATATAATTTTAAAGACATAATTTTGAATTGGAGCTTATAGCATTTGGTGCATCTTCATACCGCTTTGTTATCGACTGTTTGAATGAAGGCTGATTATCCGCTCTAAATAATTTTACGCGCAAACGGCCAAGAATAGTCCACTTACGACGATATAAGCATTTACGTAAATAGACCTGGCGCACGGTCCACAGACAAAAGCACGTGAGTGTAATAAATGCAAATTGGGGCACGGCACTCGATTCTGCGTAAAACAGTTGCGTACTTTCGGGCAACGGTCGGACGGCCCATTCATTTTATCACTTCTTTGTATACTTGATGGGCATTGTTCGGCTTTATTGGATGTATTGTGTTTATTGTTACACGGATCTTGCTTAGAATGCTTTAGATAAATTAAAATGTTTTATTTATAATATTTTTCCGATGTAACTTGAAAATACGATGTAAAAATAAATTTATTTTGAAACACTTTTTTTACTTCGCCACTCTCAAAGTGCGTGGAGCGTCGGTGGCTCAGGGGTCAAGCACTTGACTTGCAAACTGCAGGTCCTGGGTTCGAATCCCGCCATGTACCAATGTGTTTTTCGATTTCCGATTTACATATGTACATTTATCCGACGTTCTTACGGTGAAGGAAAACATCGTGATGCAACCTGCACATATCTGAGAAGAAATTCAAAAGATATGTGTGAAGTCAACCAACCCGCACTAGGCCAGCGTGGTTGACTATGGCCTAATCACCCTTAACTTAGGGTAGGCTCCGAGCCCCTCGGTGGGGACGTATAGTGAGCTGATGATGATGACTCTCAAAGTAAGGCCATATAAGACTATGAGCTACTAAGGGATTGTAACGAATTAATGAATCTAAAAAAAACAATTAATTTGGAACCCTAAAATAGTCCAAGTCTGTTCAAGTAAGATTCTTTTATATTAAAATAGTTATCGCATGTGACTCCGTCCGCGCGGAATGAAAAAAAATCTTAATTAGTAGTCGATCTGTTCTTCCAGACTGTGTTCTACATCCAAATTTCAACGTGATCCGTTAAGCTGTCTTCCTTTGTTCGTATCTTCTAACAAACATCCATCCTAACATTCGGATTTATAACATTAGTAACATAACATTTTAATCTTGAAGTTTATATATAATCCAGTTTCGTGCATTTATTTGTTCATTTGAAAATCCTAGCACGTGTTGGTGTTAATACAATTTATAACTCGAGAGCACTAAAACATAAATTTTAACTTATTTATGGTTTTAATTCACTTGTATAGAAATACGTGTGATTTACTTTTGCAGTTCTCATATTTCAACAGCTGATGAAACATTTACTACTAAAAATATATCGTTATTTGAGCAATTTTCATTTGTAACGTATCTTACTGACATTATAATTATGGAAGTTTAGATGTATGGATGGATAGATGTTTGTTAGAAGGTATCTTCAAAATGGCTCCATAGATCTTGCTGAAATTTGGTATAGATGTAAAACCCAGCTTGGAAGAATATATAGGCTACTAATTAAGTTTTTATTTTAACTCTACACAAACGAAGTTGCCGACGACAGCTAGTTTAAGACAAAATAATGCAATTTAAGAATTATTATACCGTTTAATTATTTTCTATGTTATAGTCCTTGAGAGAGATTAAAATCGTTATACAAAATTAAATAACTAATATAAGTGAAATCTACATATAATTCGTGTTGTTTCCCATGTTTATATAACAAAAATGGCATAACACAAAACAAAACAGGATACACAAAACAAATATACCGCATGTCTTGAAAACTGATTCCGGTTAATATCCTTTTATTACAATGGAAACGTAGCCAACGGGTACAGAGTAAAAACCCCGGCAAGCCATATGTAAGCCCCTGTCCTGAAAAGCGCAATGAAATCTCCGGCTACAGATACTCGGATCATAATATAAGCCACACACGTTAGGTTTTGCACGGTTTATCCTTGCTAACATAACCGATGGGTATAAACATAGTACGGTGTAGAACAGTTTACATATGTACTGTGGTAATCCTGTCTGAATGTATGGACAAAAGCTAATGTGTGGGAACTGCATTAGTTTTGTGTTTTTTGTGTACGAAAACTACGTTACTTACTCACTATTATGTGATACGATACAACTCCATCCGCGCGGAATTAAAAAACTTAGTAAGTAGCCTATGTGTTCTTCCAGACTGTGTTCTACGTCTATGCCAAATTTCAGCGAGATTCATGCAGCAGTTCTGGAGATACCGTCTAACGAACATCCATCCATACATTCGCATTTATAATATTAGTACGTTGACCATTTGACATTTACATAGTTTTCTTTAAATAACTTTAGTTACTATTTTTATGCCACAAACTTCATATCATTAATCAGCTTGGACATAGAACTCCAATGGTAACCGTGGGTTTCCGAGACCAAAATCTCCATATAAAATATATCGATATCTTTTTATTGACAAAACAGATATAACTACGTATTTTAAACGGAGATTTTGGTTTCAGAAATCCACGGTAATTAAAAAGTCCTTATTATTGTATGGGTAATGTAAATTATAATTAAAACACTGTATTAACATTTTTGAAAATTATTTTTTATTTTCTTTTTCAATATTTTAATGAAACCGACAATGCCGGCAGTTAAGAAAAACCTCATTTAAACTATTTACAATTTTATCTATCAACAACTTAAGCTTTATATTTTATAATTATTGAATAGCTTATTAAATTAAATATATAAATTAATGACATATCACATATGTATGGAAATAATTTCCAATGACAATTTACTATATCCTGATGTAATTCACATTACATAATTAGTGAATAGTAAAGTTATGCGTCGTTAATTGAGCGTCGATGGCTCAGGGGTTAAAGCACTTGACTTGTAATCTGAAGGTCCCGAGTTCGAATCCCACCATGTCCCAATGTGTTTTTCGATTTACATATGTACATTTTTCCGACGTTCTTACGGTGAAGGAAAATGCAACCTGCACATATCTGCGAAGAAATTTAAAGATAGGTGTGAAGTCAACCAACCCGCACTTGCCCAGCGTGGTTGACTATGGCCTAATCATTTTTAATTTAGGGTAGAGTCTAAACCCCTCGGTGAGGACATATAGTGAGCTGATGATGATGAAAGTTATGCGCACAAAAAAGTATTGCAGTAAGAGACCTAGCACGAATATTTACGAAAAGCTCTTTCGTATCGTCATTGTCAATTATGGCAAAATTAGGATGAGTTGCATGAAATTAAATTAGAGTTTTCGTTATGGTTAATTGTAACGATAACTTTAACCGTAACGTGAACTTTAACAACGAATCGTTGCTCTTGTAACTTTTTGTACAATGGCAACACTTCAATATTTGTGTCAGAGTTGACTTCATTATCATTAGTATGAGAGTATTGGTGTCATTTACGTCCAATAGAGGCGCTGCACACACTTTAATACACATTTTGGCGATGGTGATACAATGACGTCATAAATATTCATGCTAGGATCTCTTCTGTCTCTCTGTTGTATGTAAGCATTCTATTTCTTTTTACACTCAAATGATAACATTGTTTTAATGCAATGATATATATCTTTGGGATTAATATAAACAGTTATTTAAGCGTCAATAGCCTAATGGTTATGGGTACGGATTTCCGATCACGAGGTCGGGGGTTCGAATCCCGCCATTCGACTATTGTCGTAAACCATATCCTAGTACAAGTTTAGAGCTTAGTTGGAATGGTAAAAGAAATATTAGTAAATTTATAATACTAAAAAATCTGCTAATATTTTGTAAAAAAAAAAAATACGGCATATTTATCATGTTTGAATAGTTTTTTTTAAATCAGGATTGTGCGCTGAATAATTTTTCAATTAATATAGTATAAAATTATTCATACAATAAGTTAAGCTCTTTTCGAGAATTGGAATTTGTCATTAATATATGTAACTTCGAAGTAACTAAGAAATAACGCACAACGATTTTCACTTCCAAATACTGGAAACCACATTTGTGTATAATCTTACATGAAACTAATTATGTAATGTGAATTCGAAGTACATAATTTTTGTCTTCACAGAAATTATTTTTCAGTTATTTATAATTCACTAAAATAAAATAGTATTTATCCTATTCATTATTTATTAATCGTTTTTTGTAAAAATAATTTTTATTATTATTATTCAGCTTGGTGTAGAACAACCCTTACTTATATTTTTTCATATTATCTACATAAGATATCAGATCAATGTTGGAGAAAAATTAATCGGAAGACTTAACAAAATCTTAGTTATAATGTGTCTATTTAAGATAGATTGGTTTGACAATTGACGCCTATGAAGTATCGAATTATTTTTGTATAACGTTTAATGCTGTACTTAATGGAGGGTTGTCATAGTGTTGCACCTTACGTGCATTACGAAACTGTCGAGAATCGGTCTTAAAATAATATAAATCAAACAAATAAATACTATAACTGAGGTATTACTTTTTGAATTTATTAAAGACATCTAGCGGTCTAGTGCAATTAAAACAAAAAAAATCTTTTTGTTTCTCAACATCTCAATTTTTGGTTTAATATTTTTTTTTATGTATCTCGAAGAATAAAGATGGCATAAAAACAAACAATTTCATTTATATTGTAAATCAAAAACAATAATCAAGAAATTTTCGATTGCACGTTCTATGAGAACAATCATCGAATATCGAAAATTTTCATAACCGATTTTAATCAACCCATCTCTAATGAATTGTCAAACTAATCGATCTTAAGCACACTATATTAATTTATCGCCAGTATTTTGTTTAAAAAAATCGAACAATTAGTAAATTAAGAATAGGATAGATTAAAATGTATGACAGTATTATAAGGGCTATGTTACAGTACAAGTTTCAGATTCGTAATTACTAGAATCATCTATACGTAGTTTCCACTCTTGTAAAAGTGTATTAAAACTCAATCATTGTTCTTTACATATTTTCAAATGTAACAAATTTATAAAATTGATTTATTTATTAATATCTCTTTTAGAATTAGAAATCCTTTTCGTAAGATGAAGTTTTCTTTTTTATAATTTGCTAACAGCCTAGCATCATTCAACTGTTACTATTTGATTATTTTACAATAATATGTTCACAAAAAAAAACTGGCAACAAAATAAAAAATTAATATTTTTTCTCTCTGAGAATTTTTTTTTTATTAAAAAAACAATGAATAAAATTTAATAGCAAAACTTAAATATGGATATGTTTTTCAAAAAGCTACAAAGATGTAATTTATAATTTAGAAATTCATCTAAGAATCAAAGAAGTCTGCACAAAATAAACTATCTAATTATGAAACTTAACTAATACTTATGCTTATAAAATTAAATTTATTGGTCTTAAACAAAATGGCAGCTTACATCAATTAAATTAAATTTACGAAGATTTCACAACCTTTTCAAAACAAATTAAATTTTAATTCTAATAAAGGAAAGCGAAAAATTTAATATTAAACACAAATTAATTGTAATTTTAATAAGCGTCGGTGGCTCAGGAGTCAAGCACTTGACTTGCAATCTGCAGGTCATGGGTTCGAATCCCGCCATGTACCAATGTGTTTTTCGCTTTCCGATTTACATATGTACATTTATCCAACGTTCTTACGGTGAAGGAAAACATCGTGATGCAACCTGCACATATCTGAGAAGAAATTCAAAGATATGTGTGAAGTCAAACAACCCGCACTTGGCCAGCATAGTTGACTATGGCCTAATCACCCTTAACTTAGGTTAGGCTCTGAGATCCTCGTCGGGGACGTATAGTGAGCTGATGATGATGATGATGATGATGAAAAATTTAACACAAATTTAATAAATCTTTTAAATCCACTTCACTCACACTCGTATAACATTATTAAACTATTATTTAATAGTTATATTATCTAAAGTATTAATTGGAATATTATTAAATTTATTTACAATTATATTACAAACAAACCATAACACAGTTCAAAATTTCGTTCTTCCTAACTATTAATTTAATTAAAACTTAGCGAGACGTTTCAGGTATTATCCATGTGTAATATACAATATTAATTTCACTAATAAACCCCTTGCCGCATATGAAGTCAATTATGGTTTTGTCACTTTGTGATTTTAGTTAACAATATAATGAACTTTTTATACTATTCTTTCTGTTCATCAAAAGTAATTAAAGTTAAAAAACTCATATTTGCAAAAAAAAATATCACATCTCCATAATTCATGCAGTAAGGGGTTAAGGTAATTTTGTTAGTGTATTAAAATCAAAAACTTACATTTACAGTATTCAAACCGGTCGCGTACGAAAGGAAAATAGGTCGAATCGTGGAAATGTACCTAAACCGTTCGCTATATCCAAAGCTTCTAAAAACTTTGAGCACATTCTTTGAGAGTCTGTTTTATGTACACTTGGTCTAAAGTTGTGTTGTTTGTCAGAGCGGGGTGTCGCGCGGCGTGTGGCGGGGCGCGGGCGCGG